AGACTATTACATTTGGGTGAACTTTGATGGCACCATGCAACATGATCTTTCCCTTCATGGGTCTGCTAAGATGGGAGATGAGACTGCTAGGGTGATAGGACTGCTTGTGAGTAATTGTGAACAGGATTCTCGGCAATGGCATCCAGCTGCACATAAAATAAGTCCACTGAGAAACAAGGGGGGTGATCTCATCACCGTCAAGAGCCAGGAGTGAAGTGCCTCCTCTGGCCCCAGCATCTGGCTTATCCCTGCCTGACTTTCAGACCTTGGGATCTAAACGGTACCTAACGCCGTGTAAAACATTCCCTCCAGTTCTGTGGGACACTGCAGGGATTCTAGAACTTAAGAGATGTAAGGGAATATACTCAAAGTAAAATTAGGGGAAATGGAGCAGACTAGCCTCTCACAGGAGCTGGATTTTTGGAAACTTTTCTGTCTCCAACTTCTTGGGACTAGTTTGGTATTAATTAAATTAATAAGACAAATTATTGAGTTAAGTTGTAGAAGTTTGATATATATGAGGATTTTATCTGATGATATATGATTGTTCCCAGTTTTCTCCGAATATATGTTGTTTCTTCATTTTGTTGATAAAAATCCTTTGAGGCACAAAAATATTTAATTTTTATGGGGTTCCATCTATCTACTATTGTGCTTGGGCCATGTTTTCTTAAATGCAAAATATTTAAAATGTTTCCCAGTGCTTTAAAATAAACATCCAATTATTATCATTTTTGCTTTCTTCACTCTAGCTTTTGATTATCTTTTTAAATACACATAGGACAAAATTATCCACAGCACTCACATAATGCATTCCTTGTCAACATCCTGTACCGTGGACACAATCCATCATCCAATTCTTACGGATCACATTTCTAATAATGCTTTCCAAGTTCATGCAGACTGTTGTTTGTTTTAAGGTTCATATTTAACTCACGGTGAGATATAACTAAGATGATATTGTTGTTACTGTGCTAATAATTTAGATAATTTACTTTCTCATCTACTTAAAAACAAGGTATCCCCAAGGAAAGTCACTTTAAAAATCAATTTCAATTTTCTGTAATGCCAGCAGGCCTAACCTTACAGAGCATTTAAAGTCTCTTAGGAACTTACTCAACATAAACATACTCTCAAGACTATAAATAAAGCCATCATATTCATTGCTTATCCTTAAGACCTTGGTTATAGAAGTTGTCTTTAGCTGATATTAAGAACAACGATCATTACACTGAATAGTGGGAATACAAGTTGGACACTCAGTCCATAAACTATATTCTTGACTGGGTCTCCCCAATCTGTACATGAAAACTTTATTTGAAAACGACAGCAACAAAGAAGCCTCGATGAACTCCTAAATATCTGCTTCTCTGTAAGATCCATTCAATTATCGAAGAATGAGGCCAAGTTGCCTGTTTTCAAGTGGTCATCTCTTACACCACCTGTAGTGTGAGGAATAGAAATAACTAAGCTTGCCACACCCATGTTGGTTAATTTTAAAATAATCTCATCGATGGCAACTACGCAAATAGGCAAAGCTTAGAAAAGTGTAAGGGACACCTGCAATTTTGTCTAAGGCCATGGCCTACATAGATAATCAAGAAGGACTCAAAAGTACATACAGCTGGTATTCTGATTAGAACGTACATCCTGGGAAAGGAAAGGAACTCCAGGGCCAGTCAATGACATAGTGGCAAAAGCAATGCTGAAGACAGGGGAGTTTACCATCTTCAGTGAGGACTGGGAACGGAGAAGACGACAGCAAAAATGGGATTCAAACACACTGGGTGCTTAATTAACTGATTCTAAAACACTTCAGCCTTGCTTAAGGAACATTTATAATAAAACGTTTATTAGACTCACAGTGTAAACTTTGCATATATAGACATATAATTACATACATATATATCATTACCTTTGCATATAACATCAAAAGAGTTTTAATGTGGAGAGGTCTAAGGGGCCGGCCCCAATCCCAACTATGTGGACAGCAGCCCCTCCCATGAGAAGAATGTATTTCAGAGGACAGCACTGACGCTGCAGCTCAGAGAGAGGGACATGTCTGATCAGAGCACAGAGGAGCTAATGAAGGGGGTGGAAAAGAGAGTGGAGCACATCCTGGCCCACCAAGCCTTGA